CATACATACATACATACATACATACATACATTCATACATACATACATACATACATACATACATACATACATACATACATACATACATACATACATACATACATACATACATACATACATACATACATACATACATACATACATACATGCATACATACATACAGACAGACAGACAGACATGCATACATACATACATGCATACATACATACATACATACATACATACATACATACATTCATACATACAAACATACATACATATATACATACATACATACATACATACATACCAACAATCAAACAAATCTACTTGGATAAATAAGCGAAACGAAATGAAAATAACTAGAGGTATGAAATTTTTCAAAAGAAAATATACAAACAAGAAATATACAAAACTATTTATAAACATGTATAAATACAAACTCATTCACAAAACTCTATACTTACATATATACAAAAGTCTATGGTCTAACTAGAGATGACCCAAAGGTCGAAATTCGGCGATTTTCGTGTTAAGCTTTGCTTTCTGTCATTCTAAAACCGAGTAGTCCACTTCCATTTAAGCCCCCATATTTTACGTATGACAGATTAAAAATTAGATAGAAATTACTAGGTAAACATATGTAAAAATTCATAAATTATTATGAATATTATTGGGTAGAAATTTATTACGTTCTACGTATGACAGATTAAAAATCGTTAAATATTATTAGGTGGAAATTTAGTTTGGCCATCGCTAAAATTTGGAATTTTAATCCAGATATAAGTTCTTGGGTGAACGTTAATCGTAATGATTCTTCCCCCTTCAAAATAGCAGTAATAATAATAACATTAATGAAAATTTCATTAATAATAATAATGACAATAACAGCAATAATAATAATAACCAAAACGATAATTTACTTAATAATAATAATAATAATAATAATAAAACCCACGCATAGCCCAGCACATGTTACCAGGTAAAAACACATGCACACACACACATACACATTTTCACACACACACATTTTCACACACACACACACACACACACACACACGCAGACACACATTTACACGCGTACACACATATTGAAGATAATTAAGATGAGATTTCTTTTGAAATGTCGAGGACAGAATGTCGATACAAATTACATTATTTTGAAACGTTTAACAACAACAATTACAACAACAACATCAACAACAATCACATCAATTACAACAACAACGTCAACAACAGCTCCATCAACAATATCAACAAAAGCAATTTCGCCAAACCGTAAACAATGTACCAATATAATATAAAATATAAACTTAGCCACAACTGTATGTGTTCGGGGTTTGTGAGATAGCTCAGATGGTAGAAGTGCCGTGTCTTGCGTTTTTTTATATTTCTGTCACGTGGGGCCAGGTTCGAATGCTAACAATATCCGTGCAAAACTCCACGACTGTCATGAGTGTTGCGCGTGTGGTGTGTTTTTTTGTGCATTCACCCGAAACATGTTAAGGAGTGTCGTGTGGTATACTTGTGTAGTGTATGTTCGTCGTGTGGCAGCTTTTGAGGTCAAAAAATTTTATCGAGACTGATTTGAGGGATGATGAACAATGTGAGAAGTAAAAGAGCAAATGCATTTAGGGTTAGTATTGTGTTATCATGTATTGTGCATGATTGAACATATCAAACAGCCTTCTAACAATCAAGTATCATTCATTGGAGTGCATTTCGCTAGTGAAAATTATCTCTGCATTGTTTATAAACAACGACAACAACAACAACACAGCTGCAGCAACAACAACAACAACATCATCATCATCAACAACAACATCATCAACATCAACAACAACAACATCATCAACAACAACAAAATAAAAATATTTTAATATAAAGAGAGAATACGAACGTAAATAAAATCGAATTTTCGGCTCTCATGCCATTTGGCTTACTAACTTATTTTAATTAATTTCGTTTGATCTGATTTGATGAAGAAAAGAAATTGTGAAGAAAAAATGGAACAAACTGCTGTGTGTGTGTGTGTGTGTGTCTTATGAGGATCTCCTCTGAGCGGCGCCGAAAACATGA